GATGCAAAATTACCCCAAGATGTCCTTTTCCAACTCCAGGTTGGAAAGTGGAGCCAGTTTTGCGTTTTCAAGCCTCTCACCCGTGTTGCTCAAGGAGCTTATTCAAGAGTGAGCTTCACTGCTTTGAGTGCAGCTCATGCTTTAAAATGATTGTGCTGAAATATAATGTGTTGCTTTGGTATTGTTGCTGTGCAGAGATTGTATGATCTTTTTATCTCATAAAGTGTGACTGGCAAAAGCCACAAAGCCGCATGTTTGTGTCACTGCACTGATTACTGGACAGTGACTGGACGGGATAAATCCCGCTGAACGGCTACAGCAGAATCTGCCCTGAAGGATTTGTAGCTTTTGGTAGTTTAACAGCAATGATCAACACAATTTAAATGGAATTCAAGATGATTAACTTGTCTGTTCTTTTTCTGGATGAATATTACAAATTGCACTTCTGTCAAATCCTTGAAATTATGCCTAATGCAGTATGGATCTTGGCGATTTACATATTTAATCTTCGGAACAGTAGCTTTTTATGTACAAAATATATTACTGCTGTGTCCATTAATCACAGAAGATGAATGTGGGGCGTATAAAGGACTACTCCTGCTTTGCCTTCATTTATTTACTCGTTAAGTTTTAGGCTTGCGCTAAATTTAAACAGTGCCCTTCTACAGCTTTTGCAATGCTGTCTGATAATACGACACCAAAACGTACCAGTATTGAGCCCTTTCAATAACATGTCAAAACCATCTCTCACCACTGGTACTTGAAATCCTTGAATCCCTTTAGATATGCATGGTCATTTTTTTTTTATATCAGGGACATTTGGGAGTTTCACAGTTGACGACCCCTTTTCATCTTTGAAAATGATTGATCTGTCATTCATTTTCCATCTTATATTTTTCTTTAGTTCAATTGTAAGCAAGGTGCCAAGTCAATGCTTAGTGTTGTGCAATCACTGCAACAAAACATCCTTTCTATACCAGATGAACCTTGAGGACTTCAGATTCAATCAAACGAAGCACTGGTATGAAAGTGTTCCTCTCCCACTGCCTCCCCCCATGTGTCTCTTGCTCTCCTCTCCGGGTGAACGCTAAGCACGCCTAAGAGGCCGATGAAGGAAACAGATAACTGTGTAGGTTGCTAGGTCTGCTGGACTGGAGCCACGAAGCCCCCCTACTGGTATGACAATGTTGTGATAGCAGCTTGAGGTGTGCTTCTGTAAACTGGTTCCACTGCACATGTAACGAGCTGTCTGCTGTCCAGCAACGTGTTCCACTGCAAGTTCTGGGCATCTTGCAAAAGGTTTATTTCACACCCGAGAGGTAGAATGAAAAAAATGAGTAGTTATATGAGGGTTACTAAGGGTCGGTTGGTTTTCAGCCTGCTGGATATCTCAGTAATGACTGAATGGATTTTCAACAGACTTCAGAGGAGGAATCCTAGATTTGGTTTTGAGTGAAACATCTCAACAAGATTATCATGAAATTTGGTACATAATTCACAAAAATACAATATCAGATATTCATGAATGGATGGTCAACCTCACATCTTGAAAAGTAGCATCTCCACATGAAGAAGAAAAAGGGAAGAGGAAGAATTAAGATGATGATGGCATAAAGGTGAGAGGAATAAGGTTGCTCTCGCAGAATTACTGTCAGTAATGGATTATTATATAACTCGGTCTTCATTTTTTGAAAAGGGGCCCCGAGCAATAGCTGGTAGTTTGGTGCTGAGAGTGAGCACGAGTGAAAAGCCAGAGGAGAGAACCCAAATCTCTATGGCAACTTTATAATATCACACCTATTCAGAGACTCCGGATCAGCCCTAAACTAAAGGGCTCTGTGGAATCCTTTCAGAGCCCGATGCTAAGGTATCAAATGTCCTCCTCGGATCAGATGTGTCATAAACAAGGCATGCCACATCATATGCTGCACTCGACCCAATTGGCTGTTTGTACAGCGCACTCGTCACCTTTCACAAACTCCATCGCTCAATGAAATCACTTTTTTTTTTCTTTTTCTCCTGTTTACTTTTGCTTTCCGTGAAACGTATCCAGTCGGAAAGAAAGCAAAGCTACTTGTCAAATGGACGCGGTGCTTCATCTCAGGGTGACATCCACCTACGTTTCCTCTGAAGGTCCCCGCCGTCTTTAATGAAGCAAGTGGCTTTGAGTAGACAAAGGTTATGCTAAATAAAGAAAGACGGTGCATGTAGGTATTTTTACTGTGATTACGTTGGCGTGCTGGTATTAGTGTTTAGCTCAAAGTGCTGATGTTTCTAATATAAGTACACTTTTCACAGAGGCTTAAAGTAAATCTTGCAAACACGCAACAAAGATACAAAGATGTTAAAAGTATTTAACTGTTCAATAACTTATGACTTGCTTGAAACTATTCATTTGAATACAACTTTTTTATAAAACAAGCAAACATCATGATGATATTACAAATATCCTTGATGAAGTGATACCTGCAGATTACTGCAGGTATCACTTCATCAAGTGTACTTATTTGGTCCTCTGAAAAATACATAAAAACACAAAAAAGATACACAGGCCTACTGTATGGAGGGAATATACTGTAGATGTTGTCTATTTTGACTCAAGGAAGAAATGGAGTAATTTTTCTTTAACACTTTTGCAGCAACCAAAAGTTTAATCAAGTATTTCCAGACAAATTAACAACAAGCTGAATAAAGGGGTTTGTACTTTGGTGAATATCTCAATCAACACTTTTCCAGTAGACGTTTTCTCACGGCTGGAGGGAAAATACCCAGTTGTTGTAACTGTCTCTAGTTAATATCAACCAATCTTCTTGGCCAGGTAGTTCCAGGCAGTTTATAATTGAGTTGAGACTCAGGAAATACTGATTAAGACATTGTCAGTCGCAAGAGGAGGCGTTTAGACGCCACTGAGACTGCAGGTATTCCAGAGTCTGCAGCTGCAGGGGAAACGTGTACCTCTGTCTGCAGGTGCGTGTGTGTTTTACAATCACCGTGTGTGTGTGTTCACATGTTGTGTGCATGATTTTAATAAACTCTCAGGTCCCTGGAGCACCATCTGCCTGCACATTGTTTGATCGAGCAGGAACTGGTTTTGAGAGACACCCCCTGTCTCCACACAAACCGCTGATATAAAAACCTGTTTATTCTCTCAGCGTTTCCACAGTCTAACCTGGAGCGCTTGATTGAATGGAGTATAAACAGAGTTCAAAGCATTCAATTGGTATTTCAAAGGCCCTTTTTGAATTGTGACTTTCTTCCATGATGTTGCATCTCATATGTCCTCATATTTCAGTCTAGTTTCTCAGTTGTGTGATAGTTAACAATGTCCTAAAGATGTCTGCCTATCGATCGTTTGATCCCCTGCATTAGAGCGCTATTTTTGATGAGGCAAATGTGGAACACGCACAAACGTGACAACTGACACAGACGCTCAGTTTGACACTGAGCAGAACAGAGAATTTCTGTATTGGTTTTATGTCAGGTTGCACATCTTTGTCAGTAAACAATATCATCTGCAATTATCAGGTTGACTGTCCATGGGTATGAAGATCAGGGCCACGATAAGGCAGAGAAACTGAAATGTGCTCCGATTATGGTAGTTAGTGCGTGTTGTAAACATCGATGGAAATGTAAAAGCTACATGTAAAAGACGATGAATATTCCAAAAATAATTATAGACTTACCTTTTATTACTGCCAGCCATGAGCCGGCGTCAGTGAAAGCATAACAAATAGACATGAAATCACAAAAAATACATCACTAGTATTGTTTCCATGCTAATGCTTAAATCCAACCATGTAATACTGCTACAAAGACATGAACAGTTAACTACATTAAAACGGGCTCAGCTGGAGGAGAACCTCGGTAGCCAGCAGGGATCCCATACAAGGGCTGGAGGAAATACAGCAAAACACCAGGACGCAAGAGTGAAAATAATCAAAATTGTTGTCCTCATCTGTTGCATAAAATATCATTTTTGATGATTTAGTTTTGTGCTTTGTCTCCTCTGTTCTGTGCCGGTGTCCATGGGGTGTCAGGTGAATCTACCATGCAGTCGAGAGCTCCAGAAGCCTCATCTGTGAGACAGAAGAATGAAGTTTAATAAGCATGTGACAGTCAACAGCCCCCACTAGGGAGAAAACACTGCAGCAGATGAATAAATGTTGGTTTACAGCCCCCAACCTCCAGTTATTTATATACCAGTCAACATTTCAATTAGGCATAAATCATGGTACAAATGATTATCCCCGATACGATCCCTAGGGATGCTTTACTCAGGAGCAGGAGTTCTCCAATTGTTGTACTACGAATGCTGCCTGGCCACTAAATGAATTACATTTCTAGTTTGGATGCTCCTGGAAAGCTACTTAGCAATCAAGGACGGATGCCTCTCCCTAACTTGAGTACGGATGTAAAATCAGCAGACTTGGGTGCAGTTTGGGTTTTATTGGTGCACGTTCTTTCATCTCCAACATCGAATCAACCACAATAATATCTGTGAAGAAGCTAGAAGCCACAAAAGCTCTAAATGCCTCAATGGCCCCAAGTTTTTTGCAGATTACTTAAAAGGAAAATAGTTTTTGTCTATTAATCTTCACTCCACTGGAATATTTCAAGTGGATCAGCTGAAACCGCACGTATTATGCTTACGTTCCAGCCCATACTGCATGGCTTTAGGGCCCTGTTTTCTCTCTTTTTGACTACCTCATCTATTCTAATGTAGGTGTAGGTATGTGGATTTCAGACCTTTCCCTAGAAATAACATGAGGACACATTATGCCCATGGACTAGTGTGTGCATGGGTTTGTGTGTGTGTGTGTGTGTGTGTGTGTGTGTGTGTGTGTGTGTGTGTTGCAGATACTACCAACTTGTCCTTCATTCAGAATTTTATCTGTTAAAGAAATTGTACTCAAGCTGCTTCTTTGTCGTGCCTGTGAACTTACGCCGATGCCCTTTCTGTATATTTGAGGTATTAACTTCACTATGTGTTTATTTTCCAGACTCTACCGACCACAACATATGAGTTGGAGATCGTGGCCAAGGACATGGCGGGCAGCGAGGTGGGCCTAACGGGAACAGCCACAGCTACCATCACCATCACGGACAAGAACGACCACGCCCCCGAGTTCACGCGCACGCTGGTGAGAAAAGTTTTCATTCCTTTCTACTTCTTGCGTTTTATTTGCAAAATAGTCACTTTCCCCATTCTTTTCAACTGTGTTAAGCTGCTGTCAACGACGCGGTCAGTTGTCTTTGACTCACCGGAGCGCTTTTAATGTGAAACAACTGTGCAGGAAGTGACAACCGGTCGGCAGAGTAGATGCAATGTCTGCACGGAGCATGTGACATGTATGTAACTGGGTGGTATCGGTGGAGAGGAAGCATAAGGGAAAATGGCCGAGTATATGTTGTGATTCGGTGATGGTTTGTCTGGTCAGGCGGTAAAATAAAACCTAGAAATTAAAATGGCACACAATGAATTGCTCCTTTTGACCGTTTGTACAAACTCATGACGGATTTGTCAAAACCTGCTGCCAAAGCTGTTTTTGTTTCCCCTCTTCGTCCTCCCTCCTCCCCTCTGACAGAACGAGTTCATGTAGAAAAAGAGCCTCCGTGTGCCCTGAAGGTACAGTTGTAACACTGACTTGTGTTGTTCGTAATGGAAACACTGGCAGCTGTTGTCAGGCACATACCAATTTGCCCAAACCAAACCAACCCTGCAGCCCTCCCATGATGCATCGGGGTGTCAGGGGCACTTGTAAGGTGCGGCGACAAATATATGAAATGTTTCAGCTCAGAGGTCAGTGCAGGGAGCACCGCGTTCACGTCCCCCCCGTTAATGCTCCCATTTCTCACAGCGGAGAGGTCCGCTTCACGGCACGGAGGATCGGAGCGCGTTCGGACGCGCTATAAGCTCGCAGTTTAAATTGCTTCCTGCCGACTCGTGAATCTTCTCTGACCTCTCTGATGGCCGCCATGCCAGCACGGGAGGGTTTGCTTCGGCAGCTCTCAACTAAATTATTCAAATCTTTTCATAGAACTTTACAAAATCCCTTCCGTCAGAAAAATCGTGTCTTTTCCTGAAGACACCACCTCCTGCAGACGAAGTGTAAGCTTTGAAAAAGCTCTACTTCCAGCCTGTGCGGAGGAGTCAAGCAGAGAAAGATGGAGGGGAGGATAAAAGATGAGTGCGAAGAATCAACATAGAAGGAGACAGAGAGAGCGATGGCTAAAGGAGCAAGCAAATGAATGATGTGTTCCTTCCTGTTATTATTCATTAAATCCAGTCTGGGTTTTGATGAATTGATGAATTCAACAAACGTAATCCCCCACGTAGGGTCCCTGTGTTTTTCCTCGGACCTACCAAGCAGGGCTTTATGCATAGAAGCAGACATTCCTAATGCTGCCTCTGCGTACATCCTCAGATCCGCCTGCAGGGAGTCAGCTCTCCCTTTCCTCGCTAATTCCTCTTTCTGCATGGAAGTTTCTGCAGTTACACTTTATGTAAAAGAATTATAAAACAAGGGAGCGTTAGTTTCATGCTTTGAAAATGATTGATAAAGTTGGGGGACGGATTCAGCTAGGCAAGTTAGTTTTAATAAATTCTCAAAAGTTGTCAAAAATACTTGAATATCACATTAAAACACAAAAGGAACACCATTTAAAAATCTGTACCGTGATTTTGCATCATTCTTTTGAGTTTCCATTTTTAGATAATTGAATTTCTAAATGTCCTTGGTTTCTAGTTTGTGATTGTAAAGTTACAAATATTCCCCACAGGTAATATAATAAATTTAATTCTTTAAAAAAGCTCTCACAACAATGACTTCTAACTGGGAGCCTGAAGGTCTCATGTTGCCATTTATACACAATTTATGCCATTCATGCACAGTTTAGAGATGCCAGCAAGCAGAAACATTGAAATAAACTGTATGTCGAACAAGCAACGGTAACACAGGTCCACAGCAGGCAAACGGCTGCAAGACATTTCATTCACATGAAGCGAATCTACGTGTGTAAAAGGAAAACCTCCGTGTGCTACGAGCCCATTGTTAAGCTGGATCTTACGGTGGGAGGTCAAAGGACCCCTTTTAAAATGGCCCTGACAGTTTTTTATATAACTGCATAAGTTGTTTTGCCATTCCGAGCTTAGAAACAAAGTCTGGTACCCCCCCTAAGAGAGAGTAATGTCAGCCTACAGAGGTACACAGGCTGCTATTTTCCCCTGTTTTTTTCAAAACACGATCCAATGTTTTTTTGACAAATGGTGTAAACACTGCGAGAGGCCTCTGTGTGTGTATTCGTTATTACAGACTATCATTTAAGAGCTCATCTCGCTTGGTACGGGCTGTAAACCCTCTACAAACATTGATGAAATATGTGTTTTTGGCACTTTATCTATACAAGCATACAGCATTGGTTCTCTGCTGCAATCTAATATTATACAACAGGGCGGAGGAGGAGGAGGTTAGCGAGGGTCCAGGAGCAAGATTACTAAATTGCTAAATTACCGCTTAGCAACCTAATGAGTGATGGGCAGCTCCTGCTCGTTCGCTGTTGTGTTTTCCCCGTGTTATATCCAGGATGATGTCAGGCTGGCGTTAGCTGTCTTTGACTAATGGGTCCAGAGAATCTCACAGAGGACTCGGCAATGGACTGGATCCACTGGAGTGAATACATTGTTTTTAATGGCTTGCTTGGGCTTTTATCTTTGATACAAATTTGGAAGATTGCATCAGTCAGGGAAATATAATTATTTTTGGAAACAAAGTAAAAGAAATTCTCATTTTCAGTTCAACTTTACTTTAAGTGAAAGGCTGTTAAAAGTACAATATATACAATATACAGCGTCCACTGATAACCGCTGATGCATTATTGAAATGTTAACGTAAACAGAATGCTAAAAACCAGATTAAATATGTTACAATTAGCTAGACAGAGACGGATGAATGATTCAGTGTGATCTTGTGTTTTTGACAGCTAAGGTTGCTTTCTTACTATAATATTTATCACACTGTCCTTTTTGATTTTGCTTTGCAGAGGCTGTCATACCCGTTGTCTTCCACACTAAGCACCTGTTGCCCTCCACGTCTCTTTTCCTTCTTCTTTATATCATTCCTCCACACACACACACACACACACACACACACACACACACACACACACACACACACACACACACGGATCCTTCCTTAATTTTCTTGGGCTCCTCGTCTCCCCTCGTCGTCTCTCCGGCTCTGCTAATTCAACGCCTTGTCTGTCCGATCTTATTTCCCCCAGCTCCTCATAAGAAGACCATGATGCACCTCTTCACTCGCGTCACTCCAACAGACTGACAGCCGGGTCTGTTATTTTTTTCTCACTCAACTTTGGGCTCTTTCTCTGCGCCTGGCTGTCTTGCTGATTCCTCCTTTCCACTCTCTCTTCTTTCCTCCTCTGCTACGAACGGGAGAACGCGCTCTGCCTGAAATCCATCTGTCCCGCCGATAAAGACGTTAGCGGTGATGGGTGTAGCACCAGGCGCAGGGCAGCAGGGCGCTGTCAGGGCCGGTCCGTCTCGGGGGGGGGGGGGGGGGCTAACGGGTGTCCGGGGCTTGCGTGATTGATTCACTAGCTGTGAGATGCGCACGGCGCTCACCCCGGCTGATACGGTGGCCCGGTTGGCTAGAGATCTCTGTCGAAAAGAGGAACGATTTCAAGAACCGTGTGTGTGCGTGTGCGTGTGCGTGTGTGTGTGTGTGTGTGTGTGTGTGTGTGTGTGTGTGTCTTAAATTCTAGGATTTGGATTTAAAACCATCCACCTGCTGTCTTGATGCTCTACCTACCAACTTCTTTAAGAATGTTGTTGACTGCCTAGCAACAGACGTATTGCAAATAGTTAATAACTCTATTCAGACAGGCCATTTCCCAAAAGCTTTCAAAACTGCAGTTATTAAACCTCTCCTAAAAAAGCAGAGCCTAGATGCCTCTATTATCAACAACTACAGACCAATTTCAAATGTACCTTTCATAAGTAAAATAATTGAGAAAGTTGTCCTACAACAACTTAATCACTTCCTGGCTTCAACTGGCTACCACGACAATTTCCAGTCAGGATTTCGACCTCTTCATAGCACCGAGACGGCCCTTATTAAAGTTGTAAATGACATCCGTCATAACACAGGCTCTGGCAAAACTTGCTGACACCAATATGTCAGTTGGTGAAAGTGGATTCAATTCATTTCAGATATGTGATCCGCGGAAGGAAAAAAAAAGAATGTGCTTTCTTTTTTTAAGCAATAAGGTACGAGAGGCTGTACTTTATCGTCCAATAATGTAACAGTTGCTTTTTACTTGTTACTTTTTGTTGTTGTTAGTTTGCTGAATCTGTTTGGTTAAAACAGAATGAATGAAGAGAATGACGGCTGTCATGACAGAGAAGTTCATTGATCAAAGTAAAAGCAACATTCGTTGGTTAACTTTCCTTACTGGGTTGCAATGCAGTCCAGAGGCGAGTCCTGTTATTGATTAATTCATCGTAGTTGGTGACTGACGAGGAGCTGATGGAACCGTTGCCCAACCACCTCTGGTCCCCTGCGAACGCCACCCTGGTTTGATCTGTACTAATCTAATTAACACCTTAACAGGAACACCTGGGCTCTGATCTGATGGTGGCAGGCGCAGGATGGTGATCGCTCTTAACTTTAAACAGTCTCACACACAGACACGCACAAACACATTAGCGGTCACACACGTGGAAGCGATGTATGTTTTGCTCCTGGTGTGGGCGCCCCGAACCTAGGTATATAGGAGGCTATTTCAGTCCCCAATATACATCTAAGTGCTCGCTAAAAGACGCAATTAGACGGTGGTCTGATTAGATTAGCCCCAGCTCGGGCTTTCTGCTCCAACTCGCCGCAGCCTTAAACCCAACCTTGACCCCAATTATCCCCCACACATCAGAGGGAGCTGAGGGACAACGGCGCTGCAGCTCCTTAATTGGCCTGATGAGGTGGGATGAATGCGGTCAGCGCTGCCCCATCCGAGTCAGTGTGCACATTCTAAATGTAAAAAAAGGAAACGAAGCAGCAGAGAGGTGGTGAGGCAGAGAAAACAGAGGACAGCGCTTATTTATAGTCACTAAAAAACAAAACAGACCAAC